TGTACATGTCACACAAAAATTTCATTTCTAAGAAACTTTTAGCCCCTATTGTGTTTCTTTGGAGTATAGTCACATGGTTGTTTCTAAGTTACAAAGATCGTGATCGAGTCATTACTCGTCAATTTAACTTCTTGTGTTGGTTAGGTGCAAAAAAACGTATTTTTATTTGACATGATGCTTATACTTGATTGTATTGTAAACGATTATAGTATGGATAACACTTCATATCCAAGATTTAGAATTCTGATTTATGAGAACCAGCATATTTTGATATTCTCTCACGTTCAAGGGTCTCCTTAAATTCACCGCTTAAGAATGAGTAGAAGTTCTAAAGTTATTACTGGTTGACTTGAATTCTCTTAAAAATGAGTTATTACTGGTTGACTTAAATTCACTAGTAAAATAAAGTTCAATTTATTGAATAAAAAAAAAGTACCTTATATATAAAAAGGGTACGTTCTAGGCCTGATAGTTTTAATCAACGTTAGGATAGTTTTGTAAGGAAATGTAAAAGTAAAAACTAAAAATAAAAAGGAAATTACACTATATAGCATATTAAATTTAATATGTATTTAAAAATTTCATAATTTTTCTTTTTTCAAATGTGATATAAATTTAACTTTTTTAGCGTGTTCTTTTTTAATTACATTTGAGCTTAAGTTTGATTTAAATTAGGTTATTTTTATAAAATTTAAATTTTATACTCTATTTGAAAATACACGTTTATTTTATATTATTTATGTAACTACTTCGTAAACAAAATTCTTTATTTTTATCACATCTATTAATATTAGCAGTTAATAATGTTTTGTTTTTACAAACATAAAATGTAACAAGATGAAGGTAATCAAAATTGTCTCTTTGTTTTATTTAAAAAAAAAACAAACAAACAACCAAACAAGTAAGACAATAAGATTTAAATTATGTATTTTTCTTTAGAGATGAATATTTTAGGAGCTAAATAAATAATATTGCCCAATCAAATAAATTGGACAATCCATGTGACATATTAACTGTCTAGGTTAACATCCCATCCACAATCTTAAAAGCCACTCGTGTCCTTTTCCTCCATCCAATCAATTTCTTCACATTAATTTTCATTTCACTTTTTTCACTTTTTTACATTCAGATATATATATTAATATAGCCAACAAATAAATCTCCATTACAGCGAAACAAAGTATCTCACCATCCAAACACGATCATCTAATTTAAACATTGAATACTAGAAGTTTCTCGAAGAAAAATTAATTGAGAAGGTTGGAGCAATATGACTGACAATTCTACCTCCTTCAGTGTATGAAAAAGATAATATCAAACCTACATCGAATCTTTATTAGAAGATTTTAAACTTATATTCAACGATTATCAAGGATAGTTACTTTGTTGGCAGCCTTATTGAATAATTTTTTGTCCTTGCAGTGAAACTTGATGATGAAGTCATTTTTATTTGTTAAAGATATTAATTAAGTTTAATGTATTGAATAAAATGAATAGGTAGCCTTAGCCTAGAGTAGATTCTCTATTTAGAGGTACTCTTCGAAAGACTTGCTTGGTTTCTATATTTAATAGATGTGACTACACATAGCATTTTCTAATCTTAATTTTCTCTGATACGTCTCTTTGGAATTTCTAATTAAATCTTATATTTTCTTTTAAATAATCATTTATTTTATCCCATTATCCTAAAATCAACCAGAAACTTAGTACTATATATAAAACGTCTTAAATCTACAAGACCAAACAAAATACATGAATCAAAATTGTTAGGAATGAGATCGAGGCATGCCACGTGGCCTCCTCTATACCATGCAACTCTCTCGCCAAAACATGTGGATGAGTCTCAATTCAGCTGCGCTTAGGGTGGGTGGTCTTGGACAACTCTCCTTAGTCCCTAAATGTTAGAGTCTACCTTAGCTTCGACTTGAGAGTGAAAATACTGACGACGGAGGATCTGCTAACTAATAGGTATGGAACGTCTAATGGCAGGACAACGTACATTTTCGAAAATTGTCCTATAAAACGTCGAGTTTGTTCCCCACAAAGATACGCAATCCTTATCTAACCTTACTAAACTCGGCTCGACAACTAGCTCAGATTAAGTACTAACTTAAATTTTATAGTGTATCTAGTCAAGCACTACACTGGTGTAAGGTTTTGCCAGTAGATTATCAGCTCGACTAATCAAACTATCTACCTTAGATAAGAAATTTAATTTGCTATTCACCAAATAGAGAATCATGCATCAACAAAAACCATTTCCCTTGTTTTGATTGTAATTCTAATATTTTTCTATGCCGTTGGAAGGTTTGTTTTCCGTTTGTTTTTTCCAAGGTTTATATCAAAGAAATTTAAATTTAATTCTCATTTTAAAAAAATATAAGTATATTGTTCACAAGCTAAACCTTTAAAATAGGAAACTAATTTTTTTTTTTTATCAAACAGAAGTTATCAATTGTGAATTAGACCATTATCCTAGTATTGGAGTCAAACTAGAACAGGGAGACACTTAGGAAAGAAGAAAAATAAATAACTAAGAATTTTATTTGTGAGTAATTTGCAATTCGTTGATAAGGTTCTCACTTTAAAAAATTCCACATTGTTCAATACGGCACCGTTGTCTTTTACTTAGTCAAAGTTAAGTACCGTATCGAAGAAATTATTAATAAATGATAAAAACCAAGGAAAACGATTAAAACTTATAACAAAATAAATAAAAAAATTACTGAAATATATGTGGATTAATGGACTCAAGAGTTCTGTGAAAAACAAAAAACAACAAACAAAAGTTCTCGAATTAAATGTAAAATTAATAACATAATATATATATATATATATTATCATATAATGTGCGAAGAGAAATGGTTCCATGGAGTACAATCCAAATATTTGGATCATTTAAATTGAGATACTCATTAATCTTATATAATTTCCAATTAATTAAATGTTCAAGTTATCAAAATAAATAAATAAATAAAAAATAAAGGTTCAAAATTTCAACCACTCTATTTCTTAAAATTTAGATGGGTTGGTTTGATTGCGGTAGTTAATATATTGGCATGTTAAAAATGAATGGATTTCTAATAATTAATAATATAAGAATATTAATATCATATAATCAAATCATATTAGGTTTGATATTTTCAGGGTTAATATACCCATAATTTTCACTATACCATCCATTTGATTCTTTAAGATGATACATTTCACGATTTAAATCACGAGTTCTTATAAATAAGTATAAAATGTTATATCATTGGTTTCTTTAGTTATCGATAGTAATTAATATATTATATTTGAGAGACTGACTAAGCTAGTAATAAAGTCGAGTAATCACTTACCTACTCAACTTTTTAAATTTATCTAACAAATATTGTCACATCATGTCATCCACCTCACTCGGATTTAAAAAAATAAGTATCACATATTCATTATGAGACGGATTACATATCTCAAAACAAATTGAATTGAATTAATAAGAAAATTGACAAACAGCACAAAAAAAAAAAATATATATATATATATTAATAATAAAAACATGATGAGATCAAGTCATTAAAAGAAAGTTCCATGTGGACCCCTAAACAATCTCAAAAAATAACCCTTAGATTAAGAAAATTAAATATCATTCAAAACAAAATTTAAAATTAATTTTTTTTGGTTTGAAAAAATATATTAAAAAGAAAGACATGTTACATAATCAACATTGTCTAGGAAAAATACAGGGAACATCATTGTGCTACCCATGATAGGGTAACGCCGTTTACATATTCCTTATCTGAAAAATAAAAAAATAATAATGATTAACCCCCAAAAAGTAGAATATTTGTAATAATAGCAAAGAAATTGGAAAATTGTGGAATTTGCGAAAAAAGGCGGGTGCGTAACAGAAATAAAGAAAAGAAAAAGGGCGTAATTACTCTGATCGGCAAGTTTTGCGTGTTACTTGTCCCTCCTTTCCCATTCATGGCTCTAACTTTGTTAAATTTCTTGTCGTTTCGGAACCCAAATTTGCTTTTTATTTTTATTTTATTTTATTTTATCGATTTACCCTTTTTTTCTTTATGTTAATTCTAAATTACGTTTTCCGATTATTACCAAAAGTAATTATTTAGATTCTTTGTTAGTTGAAATTATATTTAAATTTTTGAATTTACCCATCCTAACTTATAAACTTTAGATTTTAGCAAGAGTTCAAGTTCTTGTCCATTATTTTTTTACTTTCGTTCAAATTACGCACTCATATCAACATGAGTATAGCTGGATTAGAAACACATTTTTTACGTCGGAAGTTCTAATCCTCCATATCTATTGTTAAAGTCCATTAGTGCTTGATTTTAGTTGCAATAGTTTCACTATGATTGAAATTGTAACAAAGTTTGTAATTTATAAGTTATTAGGATTTATGATTTAACTTGGGAGTGAACTCTAAAATTAAAAAATAATAGAAGGAATCAATCAAATTTATTTGGTTTGGTTGTTTGATTTTATATTTTATATATATATAAAATAGCCATAGAGTCAAATTTTGATAAATTTTGTTAGTTTCAATTGTGACACGTTTCAATGTTGACTAAAATTCAATTTGAATCAAACCGCTTACCCCATAATTTATTCGTAACTACACTTGTAACTCAAAAAGATAGTTATGCACATTTCAAGTTGTAACACACATAATTTAATTGCCACTATTTTATAAGTTTGGAACGGTAAATTTATCAAATTGAATGTTGGACTTTTGTCGATCTAAAACTAGTTCACCTGGTTAATACACTTATGTTTAATATAATAGGGTGAGAATGTTCGCCTTTCCAATTATAACATCTATTAACTTCCAGGTGATTTCTTACCTCTCTAGAATATAACATTAACCACAATTTCAATATATATATATATAAATAAATAAATAGTACTAAGGAAATGAAAACAAAACCCAAGTATTAAATTGTTTTTTTATTTTTATTTTTGAAGAGAGAATATTTGGAAAAAGAAAAAAAATTATGGGATTTGCTGTATGTTGCACCTTTTGGTGGAAGAATGCTTGTCACCTACTCCTTTTAAGTTCCCAATCCTTCTGTACTTTCCAACCCACAAAACTTACACTCACCCAACCAAAAAAAAAAGAAAAAAATTCCTAGAGAGAGAAACCTCCCCCTCTCTCTCCTCG